AACGCGGAATGCCATCGTCGTCGCCGGCGCGATCGGCACCGGCGCCGTCGTTGCCCTCGCCGTCGCCGTTGTCATCGTCGCCACCGCCATCGATGCTAGTAGCATCATCACGCCCGCCGACGTCGACATCGCCGCGACGCCGCGCTCGCCCAGGCCGCAAGAGTCGCGTCGAAGTGCGCGCGAGCCAGAGCGCCTGCGAGACGCGCTGGGGAAGTCCCCAGCAGACATCGCCAGCGCCGAGCAGTCGCCGCCGCCGCCGCGCAGGTTTTGCAAACGAAATTGCGGTGGGGAGGGCGGGATGATTGCGCGAGCAGTGGGGGTGCCTGATTCGAATGCGGTGAAGTCACATGCGTCGCCTAGATTGCGACGCGTAGATTACTCCGCGCACGTTGCGTCGATCAGGCTACATCAGTTTTGCCGCAAAGAAATCATGGGATCTCACCCGAGCCACCACCGCCACAATGCCCCGAGCATAACGAATTATCGCTTCGTATTTGAAACATATTTCGTACATGATCCTGCGCGCTCGCCCATGCTAAAAATGAAATGAACACCTGCCGCCCCAGGCAGTCGTCGCAGACGCTCCCCTTATCCCCTGCAAAAGAATTACGCTCGCGCATTATCCTGCAGCGACCCTAGGTGTCGCCAGGGTTCCACAGATTTAAGTGCGCTGGAAACGCATCATTGACACCAGGTGCTGCTTCAGCAATTGATATGACATCCTGCGCCCGCGCCCTCGCGAACCCTTGAGAAACCACGTGTTCACCGTGCCCGCGAACTGCGACCGAACTGGCCTCTCGCGCGCGCGCGTCGAAATCATCGGCGCGCCCTCGCGCGCGTGCTGTCGCACTGACGCATTGCCAAAAAGAGCGCGCGGCGAGAAACGCGCACTGACGCATTGCCAAAAGTGCTGTCGCACTGACGCGCGCCGAGACCCCCGACAAACGCGCGGCCCCGCATGGATGTCAACATCGAGTGTCCCGAAAGCAGATGCAAGACCGATGGCTTCGCAACGGGAACTGTTCAAAACACATGCCCTCACGCTCTTCCGGGCTCCTAGAAACATAAGATGTCTCCCAACATGTTTAGCACGCGTGACGGAATTGGCGTTTCGCGTGCGCATGTCGGAATCATTCGGGCGCCCGTGCGCGCGCGTTTAGGGCGAGGGGGCGCATGCCCAGTCAAACAATGCCACGCAGGCTTCTCGCGCGCGTCGGCCGCGCGCGCAGGTCGAAATCTCCGTTGCCACCTGCATCTCGTCGCCGACGCGAGGATATCATCATCGTAAGCGGCGCGATCAACATCGGCAACGCCATTGCCCTTGCCGCCGTCATTGCCATCATCGCCACCATCCTCGCTACTATCATCATCGTGTTTGCCGTTGTCGACGTCGCCGTGATACCGCGCCCCCCCCAAAAAAAAAATCATGAACTCGAACTGCGCTCGCCGCGCATCGGCAAAGCCAGCGAGACGTTCTCGGAAGCCACCCAGCGGTCAGCGCCACGGCAGCGTCGACCGCCGCAGGCTACCTGGCGCCGTTGCGCGGGCCTGCGCGACAGCGCGAACGCGGCGATACGCCAGCCAGCGCCGAGCAGTCGCCGCCGCGCAGGTTATGCAAACAAAATTGCGATGGGGAGGGCGGGAGGATGGCGCGAGCAGTGGAGTTGACTGCTTCAAACCCGGCAGGGCGAACTGCACCACATGCTGTTCACCACGTATATTCTACAAAATAGATTGCAAAACGAAGATTGCATTTACACCACGCAAATTCCCCCACACAGATTGCACCATCTATATACAGATCTATACGGATGTATGGAACCACGTAGATTCTCCATTCTAAAATAAGACTAGACACCCCCCCAACCGGAGTTAACGATTCACCTTTTCGTATTGCAAAGTGCATATGGTCCTGCCCCATCGCCCATCCTGAAGATGAGCTCGAACTATCCCAGCCAGGCCGGTATCACTCCCCCCGCCATCCTCTGCGAAGAATACTGTGCGCGCGCTCTCGTTTATCAGAAATCAAAAGTCTTGAACAATCCCTGGCAACAACATGGACGAAGTGCACACGCGCGCGTCGTCGCGCGCGCATGCCAAAATCCTCCGTCCTCCCTCGTCGCCTTAGTATGCGTTTCCTCGTTGCCCTTCCTATTTCGTCGCCGTCGTCGTCGTCGTCGTCTTCCCTCCTCCCTCGTCGTTGTCGTCGTCGCCGTCGTCGTCCTCCCTCCTCCCTCGTCGTCGTCGTCTTCGTTGGCGACGTCGTCGTCGTCGTCGTGGCCGTCGTCGTCGTCGTCGTCGTCGGCGTCGTCGTATTGGTCGTCGTCGTCGGCGGCGTCGTCGTCGGCGTTGTCATCGTCGTCGTCGTCGTCGGCGTCGTCGGTGTTGTCGTTGTCGTCGTTGTCGTCGTCGTCGAAGTCGTTGGAGACATCTTCGGTGGGGTCGTAATCGCTGTATGCGGCGTCGTCGTCGTTGTCACTGTCGTCGTCGGCGTCGGTGTCGATGCCAAGTGCCATATGGTACCCACCGTCACGGTCTTAAGAGGTCTTGCGACCAAGTTGCGGGTGGGAGGGTGGGATGTTTGCACGAGCAGTGGAAAGGACAGCTACACGTTGAGCAAATGATCAATTGCACCACGTGCATTGCGGCACGTAGACTGCACACCCCATCTGACACCACATAGATTGCACCATACACGCTGCTGCTCCACGAGGGCTGCACCACGTAGATCGGCCCACGTATATCGCACAACGTTTGTTGCACAAGTAAGGTTGCACAACGTAGGGCGCTCCAAATAGTTTGCACAACTTAATGTACACAAACCAGATTAATGGAAACACGCTGTGGGGTCCACGCCTGTGACCGTATACAAATTTATATATCAAAGCATATCCCCCCTCTCTCTTTCTTCCATTCGCTGCGTTTTCTTTCTTTTTGTTTCTCTCTCTCTCTCTCTCTCGCTTGCTGTATACGTGAAAGTATACGTGGCCGGTATACGAATCGATGCATATGTCATTCATTCTTCCTGTCCACTGAAAAGGTTCTCTCTGACTCTCTCCTCCATTTGTCTCTCACGTACTCTCTCCCCCTCTCTTCCTCTCTCTCTCTCTTTCTCTCTTTTCTGTCTCTCTCTCTCTCTCTCTCGGTCTCTCTGTATACATACAAAGGTACAAGGTGGTCCATATACATCTCGGTGTCGCTTCTCTCTCTCTCTCTCTCTATCTGTCCACCTTTCCCCCACATTTCTTGCTTGATGAACGACAAGACGGTCGCCAGCGAGGGCGCCAAGTAGTGGCGGAATTCATTTTCTGCCGTAGAATACACGCTGGGAAAGTTATGTGGCGCAAGCTGGATTGAACATGGGCGGCTTGGACTACTCCTGCGAATTAGGATGCGCAAGCGTTGGGGTGGTGTAAGCTATGTGCCGGACTATTTGCGGGGCGAGCTACGCGGTGCAAACCATGTTGTGCAAGGGTGTATGCTGTGTTGCGTACGCTATGTAGTGTGGTCTACGCGGTGCACACTCTGATGCGTGAGCGCTGTGGTGTGCACTACGTGGCGAAAGCTGCGCAATGGAACGTATGCAACATACGCTACGCTGTGTAAGCTATGTGCACGACCCTGGGGTGATGCCGACCCTGGGGTTTAGGAGGAGGAGGAGGAGGAGGAGGAGGAGGAGGAGGAGGAGGAGGAGGAGGAGGATGAGGAGGAGGGAGGGAGGAGAGGAGGAGAAGGAGGAGGAGGAGAGAGGAGGAGGAGGGAGGAGGAGAGGAGGAGGAGAGAGGAGGGAGAGGAGGGGGGAGGGGGAGGAGGAGGGAGGAGGAGGGAGGAGGGAGGAAGGAGGAGGAGGAGGAGGAGGGAGGAGGAGGAGGAGGAGGAGGAGGAGGAGGAGGAGGAGGAGGAGGAGGAGGAGGGAGAGAGAGGAGGAGGAGGGGCGTCGAGGCGCCGGAACCTCTTAGGAACCCGCCCGCACGGGGCGCCCCCGAGCGGGCACGGGGCGCCGACGCGGCGAGATCCTCGGCAAGCCCCGCCCAGAGCGCACGGGGGGCGCGCCCACGAGGCGCCCGCGGGCGGGCACGGGCGCCGTCGCGGCGAAATCCTCCTCCTTCTTCTCCTCCTCCTCCCCCCTCCAACTCCCTCCTCCTCCTCCTCCTCCTCCTCCTCCTCCTCCCTCCTCCTCCTCCTCCTCCTCCTCCTCCCTCCTCCTCCTCATCCGGCAGACCCGTCCCCAGACATCGGGCGTCTCGAAAAAATCGAGGCAGAAGTTTTTCATAGCTTTTGGCCTCTCGGGGCCCTCGCCGGGCCTCGGGACCGTCAAAAAAGGACTCGGGATGAAAAACCGGTCCCAGGGAACTGGTCGGGAGGTCGGGGGCCCGCGTCTCGAAAAAATCGAGACGTCGGATGTCTGGGTCCCGAGCGCGGGGCGCCCACGGGGCGCCCCCGAGCGGCCACCGGCGCCAAACTTGCGAATCCTCGGGCAGCCCATCCCAAGGACGAATCGCAGAATCGATCCCACTCTCGGGCAACCAATTATCATCGGGCAACCTCCTCCTCCTCCTCCTCCTTCTCCTCCTCCTCCCGCTATCCCATCCCAGCCTCGGGCCAGCAGAGAGAAGCCCGGAGTGCAAGCACTGCTTGAGCAAGGATGGGGCGGCCCAGGCATGCACCCAAGCTGCCGCAGGAGAGAGCGGAGGATGAGAAGGCGGAGAAGGTGGGGAAGCAGGCAGAGCAGGAGCAGGAGGAGGCCTGGGAGGAGGACGAAGGGGAGATGGACCAGGCCCAGACACGGGACGTCTTCAATTCTTCAATGCGGGGCCCCCAGACGTCCCACCCCCTGCCCCAGGACTGGCTTTTCATCCCGAGAATCTTTTGACGGCCCCGGGGCCACGTAACGGCCCCCAAATGCTGAACACGGAAAATGCCTCCGTCGTGATTACTTCATACCGCGGGGCTGGGACGTGGCCGCTCCCGCCGCGCCCCCGGCACTCTGAGAGGGAGGCCGGCCACAGTCCTATCGCCAGCAGCGCCGTCCGCCGGAACAGCACCACGCGGCAGGGCTCCTCACCGCAGGCGGAGGGGAGGATTCACGTTCTGCTGCGCATGTGTTGGCTCTCGTCGGGCTTCTGGGGGGGGGAGAGAGGGGAGGACTGGAGGGGCTTGTGGCTGCGCGCGCACAGCCTCCAGACTCCCAGGGAAGCACGGGTGGTCGCACCACGCTGACGCCGGAGGTCTGGGAAGAACGGGCGGCGACGACGAGGCCCCCCCGGTGGCGGCGGAGGGACGCAGGACGGAATGTGCTCCGACCGTTTACGGAAGCCGGCGCCCATCTCCGCCTCATCGGCCCTCTTCCTTCCCCCCATGCTGTCAAAGCATGGGGGGAAGGAAGAGGGCCGATGAGCGCCCATGTGTTACTTGGGCTCCTCAAGCCCTCGAAAAGTCCTTGGGGAACTTCTGCGAATGCGCTCTAGGCGCTCCACAATTCGGCGTTTTATTTCTTTGGAACTCTCCCAGAATCTCTGGTTCCGATTTGTTCCGATCTTCCGCTCAACTGACTTTGGACGCCCGAAATGGGTACGGAAAAACTGAGCACAATGCCCAACAGCAAATGTTGTCCCAAACCAACAGCGGCCGCTGTTGGGCGGGCGGCCTTCTGTCTCAGATGGACACAGGCCGCGGCGGCGCGGACAGCGAGTCCAGTTCAACATGAGCAGGAACTGCTGTTGGGCATTGCACCCATCCTTTCCGTACCCATGTCGGTCGTCCCGGCATGCACCGGGCCGCTCATCTTGCCGGCCATCACCCGTCCACATTGTGGGCGGGCCTTATCCTCAACCTTCACTGGCTCCTCCTATTCCTCATCATCATCCTACTACGAATACCACTCCTACTACTACGACTATTACTACTACTACTACTACTACTACTACTACTACTACGACTACTACTACTACTACTACTACTACTACTACTACTACTACTACTACTACTACTACCACTACGAGTACTACTGCTATTACTACTCCTACGACGACGACTACAGCTACAATTTCTACCAGTACTACTACCTGCTACGACTACGACTACGACTGCTACGACCACGACGACTACTACTACTACTACCACTACCACGACTACTACTACTACTACTACTACTACGACTACTACTACTACTACTACTACTACTACTACTACTACTACGACTACTACTACTACTAGCACTGCTACTACTACTACTACTACTACTACTACTACTACTACGACGACGACTAAGACTACTAAGACTACGACTACGACTACGACTACGACTACTGCTACTACTACTACTACTACTACTACTACTACTACGGATACTAATAGTACGACTGATGCTACTACTACTACTACTACTACTACTACAGCTTTTACGACTACTACGACGACTACGGCTACAGCTACGGCTACGGCTAAAGCTACGACTACGACTGCGACTACTACGACTAATAATACGACAAATGCCACTATTACAAGTACGACTACTGCTAATACTACTACTACCACTACTACTACTACTACTACAACTACTACTACTACTACTCCTACTACTACTACTCCTACTACTACTACTACTACTACTACTACTACTACAACTACTACTACTAGTGATACGGCTACGGCTACGACTACTACTACTACTACTACTCCTACTACTACGACTATGACAGCGACTACGTTTACGACTACGACTACGACTACTCCGACCCTGGCTCCTACTCCGACGACACATACTATTACTCCGAATGCCACTTCTACTACTACTGCTGCTACTGCGGCTACTACTCCTACTACTAATAATCTTAATACTACTACTAATACTACGACGACGACTTCTACTACTTCTCCTACAACCATGAAGGTTACGACTACAACTACTACGACGACTACGACTACGACCAATACCACGACTACGACTAGGCATACGGCGACGACTACAAATACAACTACAACAACGACTACGACTACAACTGGTACGACTACTGCAGGCACTACGACTTCTACGACTACTACGGCTACTACAACTACGAGTACTCCCACTACGACGACGAGTACAACTACAACTACAATTGCAACTACTACTACTACTACAACTACTATTACCACTACTACTACTACTACTACTACTACTACGACTACGATAAGCACATACTACTACTATTACTACGACTATGACCACTACTACTACTACTACTACTACTACTACTACGACTACGGCTACTACTACTACTACTACTACTACTACTACTACTACTAGTACTATTACTACTACTACTACTACTACTACTACTACTACTACTACTACTACGACTACTACTACTACTACGACTACTACTACTACTACTACTACTACTACTTCTACTACTACTACTACTACTACTAGCAATAATACGGCTACGGCTACGACTACTACTTCTACGACTATGACAGCGACTACGTTTACGACTACGACTACGACTACTCCGACTCCGACTCCTTCTCCAAACGACTACTACTGCTACTATCACGCCTACGACTTCGACTACTATT